AAGGAGTATCAATGAATATTCAATAATTCACAAGAAGTTAAGAAAGGAGGCCTTGACTCAAACCCACCCACTCAACAAGTTCCTGGGGCAAACAGTGCAACTGGCTTTGCTCTGCAGACAATCAGCTCTGCCTCTCTAACTCTCTGCTTAGCATTGCTGGGCTATGCAGCTTCTAGGTATTCTTTCCAGCCTTTATGATCAAGCAGGACTTGGAGCTACACTCAGCACTAAGCTGGGCTATGACTCAGCTCCCCTGCCCGGACAGAATGGGAGCGCTATCTCCTAGTAGCCTCCCAGCTGTTCCCATTCAGGCTTTCTGGTCAGGAGAGGCCAGGAGCTATACTCAGCAATGGGCCAGGCCACCAAAAACTGTTAAAGCTAATCAATGAATTCAGTAGTCACAGGAATACAAAGTTAACACACAAAATCATTACTGTTTCTATACAGTAACAACAAATTATCTGAAAAAGAAATACAGTGGTCTCCCCTTATCTGCTGTTTCACTTGCCATGGTTTCAGTTACCTATGGTTAAGTGCGGACTGAAAATAATGCTACATCACAATGCCCACATTATTCACCTCACTTCTTCTCCTCACGTAGGCATGGTATCATCTCACATCATCACAAGAAGAAGGGTGAGTACAGTACAATAAGATATTGTGAGAGAGAGAGAGACCACATTCACATAACTTTTATTACAGTATAGTTATAATTATTCTATTTTATTAGTTATTGTTAATTTCTTACTATGCCTAATTTATTAAACTTTTTCATACCTATGAAAAAAACATAGTCTATATAGGGTTTTGTACTATCAGAGTTTCTGGCATTCACTGGGAGTCTTGGAATGTATCCCCTACAGATAAGGGGAGACTATGATAAAGAAAAAGATCCCATTTACAATAAGATCAAACAAAGAAATGCTCAGGAATAATTTAACCAAGGAGGTGAAAGATCCCTACACCGAAAACTACAAGACATTGATGAAAGAAATCAAAGACACAAATAAATGGAAAAATATCCCATGTTTATGAATTGGAAGAATTAATATTGTTAAAATGTCCATAGTCTCCAAAGCCATCTATACATTCATTGCCACCTTTACAAAGATTCCAATGATACTTTTCATAAAAGTAGAAAAAACAATCCCCTCATTTGTAATGAACCACAAAAGACTCTGAATGGTCAAATAATCCTGAGAAAGAAAAACAAAGTGAGAGGCATCATACTTCCTGATTTCAAGCTCTATTATAGAACTATGGCAACAAAAACAGGGTAGTGCTGGCATAAAAACAGACACAAAGATCAATGGAACATAAGAGAGCCCCAAATAAACCTATTCATGTGTGGTCAACTAATATTTGACAAGAGAGCCAAGAATACTCAGTGGAGAAAAGACAGTCTCTTCAATACATAGTGCTGGGAAAATGGGATATTCTCATGTAAAAACATGAAACTAGACCCTTATCTTACACCACTCACAAAACTTAAGTCAAAATGGATTCAAGACTTAAATGTAAGACTGGAAACCATAAAACTCCTAGAAGAAAACATAGAAAAAAAGTTCCTTGCCATGGGTCTTGGTAATGATTTTTTGGAAATCACTTAAAGTACAAGCTAAAAAATCAAAAAAAAAAAAAACAAAACACGTGGGACTACATGAAACTAAACAGCTTCTGCACTGAACAGAAATGACCAACAAAATGAAAAGACAACCTACAGAATGGGAAAAAATATACGCATTTTCTCTATTCATATATCTATTAAGATATATCTATTAATAGATATATTTCTATCTGTTAAGGGCATAACATCTAAAATATATAAAGACTTCATACAACTCAATAGCAAAAACAAATAATAATAATCCAATTAAAAGCTGAGCAAAGGACCCGAATAGACATTTTTTTAAAGAAGATACACAGCCAACAGGTACATGAAAATGTGCTCAGAATCATAATCATTAGGGAGATACTAATCAAAACCACAATGAGCTATCACCTCACATCTGTTACAATGTCTATAATCAAAAAGATCAAGAGAGAAATGCTTGTGAGGATGAGGAAGAAAGGGGAACCCTGTTCACTGTTGGTGGGATTGTAAATTGGTACAGACAGTATGGAAAATAGTATGGAAGTTGCTCAAAAAATTAAAAATAGAACTACCAGCAATTCCACTTTGGGGAATATTTTTGGGGAAAATTAAAACACTATGTTGAAGAGATGGGTGCACCCCTACGATCACAGCAGTATTATTTATGATAGCCAAGACGTGGAAACAACCTAAGTGTCCACTGATGGATAAATGGATAAAGAAGCTGTGGTATATGTATACGAGGGAATAATACTCAGCCATAACAAAGAAGGAAATCTTGCCATTTGCAACAACATGGATGGACCTTGAGGGAAATCTGCTGAATGAAATAAGACTAGAAGGGCTGGTGAGAATACCTGGAAGCTGTGCGAGGCAACAATGCTCAAGCCAAGAGACAGGCAGACAGAGTAGGTAGTCTGCAGAGCAAAGCCAGTGGCCCTGTTCAGCCAGGGAACTTGGAGCAAGAGTCAGCTTGAGTTAAGAGAACAAAGAGCTTTACCAGCTTTGGCGCCACTTCTCCAGATGCTCCCGGGCGAGGAAACTATTTCATAGCTCTGCTCATGGTGGAATATAGCCTTTAGCTTGCCCAGCCAGGGAACCTAACCAGAGCACACTGGAAGTTGCGTGGCCCATCCAATAGCCCTGCCTACAGTGGCACATGAACAAAAAGCCCAGCTCATGGCTTTCCCCTTTGCAAAGCCAAACTGATGGCCTCACCTGCCCATGGAATTCAGGGCCCACTCTTGCCTGATTCTGGTCCCTAAACAATGAGCCATAGAAGACCTGGATCCCATCCTGCTGCCCTGCCGGGAAGCATAATTATGTCTGAATACAAACAAAATATAAATATTTTCCAATCAGAAAAATTGACCAAATATCCCCTTATTGGGCTAACATGAGTGGGAGTAGCTGTTGCTTCTTAACCAATTAAAGCTTCAGGGCTGTTCTAGTCTTCCCTTCTAGGTAAGACTTAAGATACACAATCATAGCATTACCCGTACTTACTGATTGCAGGCAAACCAGAGCAAAGTCCTGCTTCCTAAAACCTCCCCCAAATCCCCTAACACAAGCCAAAATCTTACAAGGCCTTTCTAACGCCCTTGTACGGAGATGCCCCATGCTTCCCCATAGCGTGTGTTCTGCCTCATTGCGATTACTAACTTGTCTAACCACAGGTGTGTTCACAGTGGTCTTCGGCAGGAAGGCACTGACAGGAGGAAATGAACTCACTACAAGTGAGGTCAGCTCTCCTCAGCTGAGCAGTTTCTTCCCAGTGTTATACTAACAACAGCACAATGGCTTCCACAAACATACTTAGAAGGCTGAACACCTTCTTCATAATTCCTATAGTATCCCCAAATCCAAGCCATTGCTTTAATGGAATGTGTGTTATCATGACAAACTGGAAGTCCATGAGAAAGAATCCTTTATATGTTAACCAAAAAAAAAAAAAAAGCAGAAGATGCAGAGTAATAAGGGAGTAAAGGAAGAGAACAAGAGAGATATAGGGAGGTCTACTCTAAGAAATAGAAGGAGAATATTAAGCATTCTCTATCACAGGAAAAAACGGCTTCCAGAACTCCGTACATAGACTACAAAAAGAGTAGAAAGGTACCGAACACTTGATGTCCTTCATGGCAAAACTATTTCAAATCCTGCACAGTTGCTCTATGCTTGTGACAGGAAATTTCAAGTAAACAATTTGAAGTTTAAAGTGGTTATTCAATGACAGTGTACTAAGAGAAGTAAATCAGAAAAAAATAATAGAAGAAAATAAACTTTTATGTAAAGAATTTTTCAACACAAGGTAGTTTACCTGTAATGGAACTGGAGTCGTAAATTAAAGATTAGATTCCATGTCCTGAAACTTGTAATATTGACACCCTTAACATTTCTCTTTGCTAAATACATACATATATTATGAAAAATAGGAGATATACACCCTACTTCAGAAGGTTAATGTGAGACTCAAGTGAGCTTAGTATATGAAAATACAACCTCTCTAACGGAAACTATTTTATTGAGATTTTCAAGTGCAATTTACATATATTTTATTTTTATTCAAATTGTTAAGTAGTAGAACCTAATCATGACAGGTGCCAATACTATATGCCAAAATAGAGTTAATGGATTCTTTTTTCTTACCTACTCTTATTTCACAAATTTTTCCTTCAACCTGAAAACATCTTTTCCTCATCATATATTGACCACAACACTTTAGCCACATGGAAATCTAAATCCCTGTATTGTGCCTTATGGCTAGTAATATAAAACACTGTAACTGCCAGTTTGAAGTATTTTAAGCAGGAAAATATTCGACTGAATGCATTCGATTTAATCACTTTTTTATACAGCAGATAAGCATTTTGTTCAACTTCTTTTTCCAGTTAATATTTATTTATTGTGCAGTCTTTTTCATCATAATCAGGCAAATGTGAGATTTTTATTTTTCCTTTTCTTTCTTCCTTTCTTTCTCTGGCCATTACTTCTACTAAGTCTGATGCTTCTGGGTCAAAATCTGCAGGTCTAAATTGTGCTCAAGACCAATTTCTCTGTCACTTAGTGGCCATTAACAAATTTTTATAAATTGCAGGCTAGACCATAGTTACATACATTTCATACTGATTTTTTTTCTATCAGCATGATTCCTGAAAACTGTTCAATATTTCTTGAAAATTGTGAACAAGTACATCAGAAGAGATGGAGAGATGACGGGACGGGCACAGGACTGAGCAGCAGACAGTGGGGAAGGGAGGATCCAAATGTGCTAAGAGACAAAAATAGTACAGTGAAAATATTTTGCTTTGTGGTTGAATAGAAATCAGTATGATCTGACTGTAATACAAAGTAAATAAAAATAGTCTTAACATTTTAAATTATACAACAAGTATTCTTGGTCATTTACCTGCTTCTCTAAACCTTCACTCTCGTTTGACTTTATCTTCCGTGGAACTGTGACCTGCAGGAATACCCCTTCAGAATCTGCAGTCAGAAAGTGGGTGTTTTTGTAACAATAATCGTCTCAGCAAAGCATGGGGTCCTAACCCTGAGTCCATGGGGGCTCTGAAATTGTGAGTAAACTTATTATATGTGCCCACCCTCCTTGGTCCACAGCTTTCACTAGATTTTCAATGGCGCATTAGAAATGGCTAAGGTACAAATAAACAAAAATTAGACATTGCAGTTCTACAGGACCTCCTGTTCATTTGCAGGACCACGCTGGAGCCTGTTTCCCTCCGGACTCTGGGGAATAAGCTGAGGGCAGCAAACACCCCCCTAAATCCTCTGGCCACAGAGTAGGTGACCAGGAAGACCAGCTGCTTTTCAGCTGCTGAGACCGTGGACCCCTGATGCAGAGAGAGGACTCCTTGGCTGACATCCTCAGTCACCTGGTCTGGTCTGTGGGGTGGGGAGACGAGGAGGAAGGCACCAGCAGGGGATCCGGGAAGGGGGCTTTAGGGGTCCCAGAGCTACAGGAAACTGTTCAGCAGGAAGATCCCAGCCCTGCTCTGAAGCAAAAGGAGAAGGAAGTTCAGGCTGCTCTGGTCTTACCCAGGCGGGCGTGCACCCTTCCAAGCTCAGCGAGCAGGGCAAGGAGAAGGAACATGGCTGCGCTAGAGCGCAGGAAGCACGGCCAAGGTTGAAGGCGGTTGGCGGCTCTCAGGCTCGCGGGCACGAGGCCTCAGGAGGACAGCGCGCCAGCTTGGGCCCCTGGGCAAAGGGCTGCAGCTGCTTTCAGCCGCGCTGCTCCTCCTTAGGGATCCTGAGCGGCCGGGCACTTCCACCAGGTGGGGAGGGGAAACGCCAGACACAAGCGTATGCGAATGTGCACAGCCAGTTTGTTGGGCCCAAGTTTACAATGTTTAAACCCTTCAGTAGTGACGTGGGGGCAAGTAAGCATGATAGGCTTTTCTGGTGAAGTTCTTGGTAATTTTATTTCTCCATGACACAGTTTTCTGCCATTTTTTATTTACTGTGGTAGGGGAGAAAGAGGAAAATAGAAAGGTTAATTTTTAGGAGAAATTTTCTACTTAAATCATGCCGATGACAATAATTTATTGTCTTTGCAAATAAAGAAAAAGTGAGAATATTGAACTTGATCTGGCTAAGGCAATTTAAAAGCACTTTTCTTCAGCTGAGTGCCTGTTCTTACAGTGTTCGATTATAATCGATGGAGGAGAGGGAAAGGAAACTTGAAGACCCAACCTAAGTGTGTTTTGTTAGCAATTACTTTAAAGCGCTAAGGAGGCTGGAGAGATGGGAAGGGCAGCACGACAAATGGAGAGAGGAAAAGTGACACCACCGGAGAAGAAAGAGCAGGCAGTTGTCTGAATTTTCTGACAAATATCTGAAACTGCACAAAACCTAACTCAACTTCTATCCCATTCCTCACCCAAACCTTCTTTTATCCCAGTACACCCTATGACAAGGATGACTTGTGGCAGCAGTTGCAAAAATAAACTCTGGCCAGGCTTAAAACCTGGACCTACCAGGTAATAGTACACCTGATAACACTGATCCTCAGAGGTTATCAGAATAAAGCAGGCCCGTGATCATAATGCCCCAAATGAGTGCAGTGAGGATGACGGAAACTTAGGGAAGAATGAGTCCTATGTGTACTTTTTTACCACACAATTCACCCACTTGAAGAGTACAACTGAATGATAGTAGGACTTTTAGTATCTTCACAAATATGTGCAACCATTACCACAGTCAATTTTAGTTTCATCATCTCAAAAAGACATGCTGTACCACTTGGCTATCACCACCCCTCACCTCTGCTCTTCATCCCCCAGCCCAACTCCCAGCCCTAAACAACCACTGATCTTTGTCTCTAAAGATGTCCCTGTCCTGGACATTTCATACAAATGAATCATGTTTGGTGTTTGTGACTGGCTTTATTCACTCAGCATAATGGTTTCAAGGTTCATTCATGTTGTCGCAGTATCACTGCTTCGTTCCTTTTTATGGCTAAATATTCCATTGTATGGATAGACCATATTTTGTTTATCCATTCATCAGCTGATGGACATTTGGTAAAGGAAACTCTTGGGCTCTGTGGTGAGGTACTCCCACCCTTGACCCAGGAGCATCTTTGTTTATTGATGGAGGCTCCATACATCCTAATTAGACTCCAGGTAGGCTGATGGTTCCTCAGTCCATGTAGAATGCTTTGAGGTGTCCAGAAGAGCACTCATCCAGGAAGAGGGAGATGGGGAGAGGGAGCACTGAAGCAAGAAAATCTTACCCAGAAAAGCTCAGTTTCAGTGAAGAAAGAGCAGCAAGTCGGGGTCCCCCCAAAGGACAAAGATATATCTCAATTTACATGAAGCCAAGGACGTATCCCCTGGAAACAGAACAGTTATCTATGACCAGGAACTCAGTTTGAGCAATTCTTTGAAGATAGAATGGATGCTAGTGACTATCTGGGGGCTCTGGGGCTGGCCATACCTAGCGACACTTCCTCTCAATATCCCAAAGCCGGCAAAGGACAGGGCAAGGGAATCATGAACTATTGGAGAGATGCCGACTGTAGGTGTTCTCTCTTGAGATGGGAGCAGTTAGCGTAGCCATCTGAAGGCAGGCAGTTAGCATGAGTATCTGAGGCCAGGCAGCGAGCATGGCATCTGAGGGCAGGCAGTGAGCATGGGCATCTGAGGGCAGGCAGCGAGCATGGGCATCTGAGGGCAGGCAGTGAGCATGGGCATCTGAGGGCATGCAGTGAGCATGGGCATCTGAGGGCAGGCAGTGAGCATGGGCATCTGAGGGCAGACAGTTAGCAGGGGCATCTGAAGGCAGACAGTTAGCATGGCCATCTGAGGGCAGGCAGTTAGCATGGGCATCTGAAGGCAGACAGCATGGCCATCTGAGGGCAGGCAGTGAGCATGGCCATCTGAGGGCAGGCAGTGAGCATGGCCATCTGAGGGCAGGCAGTTAGCATGGGCATCTGAAGGCAGACAGTTAGCATGGCCATCTGAGGGCAGGCAGCAGCAGTGGACAATGGATTGTTTTCAGCTTGAGATGTGACAGCCTCCCAGGTTCGAAAGAGGCAAAGCTGCTTATTTCCTACTAAAGGATCCCAGAGGGGAGAAGAATCAATAGACACAAACCTACATACTTTCACTCACAGGATTTATTTTGGTTTGTGAAAATGAAAGCTCTAAGTCATAGCAAAAGGAAAGAGAAAGCAGATTTTTTCATTCTTGGATCAGGCCGGTTAATGGTGAGTTTCTTAGTAATATCCTTTCTCCAACCTCTAGCTTTCTGACATTATTGTTTACTCACTGTTCTTAAAGAAATAAAGAAAAATAGAAGTGCTAAGTTTTAATTGTTAACAAAAGCTGTCTAATTTTACTACACAACTACCGGTATAACAATTAATTAGTGCAGTAAGACCCTGGTTATACTGTCACAATCTATGCCTGTGCTCCATACATATGTAAACCCAAGTTCCTTTTCCTGAATCATTTGTGACAGCCACCTTAAAAGGAAATATTATAAATTGATGTTTGTATATGTTTCATTTACATGGTCTCTATACTTTAGGTGGGTAAAACCATTCTTCACTCCCCTGCACTTCCTCACTCCACACCAAACTGGTTCTTACTCTACTATACAATATGTCATTAGTAAAAGGTGTCATTATCCATGGTGTCAGAAATGTTTAAGTCTTTGTAGTTCTCTCTTATTCCAACCCAAATATGTCCATCTAGTCACCACTTCGCTTGAGTCTACCTCTGTTATTTCTCAAGACTTTTCTGTTCTTTTCCTCTTATCCAAGCCTGCCCTCACCACACCTTTCCTGTGGATTCTGTAGTCTCAGCTGTTTCACTGGTCTCCAGTTCTGACTGAATCTGACTGAATTCTCCCCTCCCTTATCGCAGTGGAATTTGTAAAAAGCAAACCATACCATGCTGCATCCCTTCTTTACGACCTCAAAATTGGTTTAACTATGTTCTTATTCATATATGGGAAAACTTAAACTCCCTATCATGGCATCCCAGACACTTGGCTCACTATTACCTATGTATATTTTATCTCTCATAAATTTTAAAATGTATTAAGAGCACAAATTTAGCAACAGAGAGGTCTGGCTTTACATTTTACCCTTGCTATCTTCCTGCTTTATATCAATAAACATTATTTAAACACTTTTTATTACACTCTACATCCACACTGTCAATTAATCCTGTTGGTTCACCTTCAAAATTTATTCCTAAAGCCATCCTCACTGTCCCTGGTCTGAGGTACTATCCTTTCTCTCCTGGATTAGTGCAGTAGTTTCTGCACTAACTGGTTTCTCTACTTCTACTCCTGCCACCATACAGACTACTTTCAACAACCCAGACATTAAAAGTGTAAGTCATGTGCTTGGAATCTAAAGCCTCCAGTGATTGTTCCCATTCAATCAGGGTAAAACACAGATGGCCTCCAAGACCTCCCAAACCCTACAGGAGTTTGATTTCTCCGACCTAATCACCACCGCAGCCCTCTTGCTAACTCTGCTTCAGGTACATTGGAATCACTGTTACTCATCAAACATTCCTGACATTTTTTCATTGGATCACCATGTGCTTGGAAAGCGCCTGCCCAGATGTATGCATGGATAGCTCTGCCGGCTCTATGCCTGTGGAAGATAAAGTTGATTTACAACTGGAGTGGAAAAGGTCTATCTCTATGTCTGGGAAAGGCTAGATGTCTGGTTTCACTTTGTGCCAAGATAGGGGCGGCGGGATTTAAGATGGGATATCTAAAATTTAAAATAAGGAACCTTGAGACCTTGAGCACGAGGTGCCTCTCTGACCCCGAATGCTTGCCTGTACTCTCTTCTGCTGCGCTGCATCCTTTGCAATTACATAAAGCCTTATGTGAGCGGCCCCTGTGAAGTCAGATGACTCATTTCAAATGTCTAAACTGGGTAAATACTTGCACCTCCTCCAATTATTTGCTTACATGTCAGTTAGTAAGGCCTACTCAGTCAACCATATTTCAAATTGCTATCCAGTTCCTCCCTCAACATCAACTCTCCCAATTATGCCTACTGCTCTAATCTTTTCCATATGATTAATCACCTTTCAATACACTAGATAATAAACTTATAAAATATGTTTATTACTTATGGACTGATGCCTAACGCACTATCTCAAATTCTTGGGGCAAAATCTTGATGTAACTATAAAGTGCTATTGGCAGGAGAAGGCTGTGAAAAAATAGTAAACAAGATATTGAATTTATGACAAGAGTTGGAAGAAATCAGGGAATTGGCAAGATCAATATATTGCTTTGGAGGAAATGACTGAAGTTGGGTGATGTGAGGAGTTCAGCATGATGGTAAGACCATGACTGAAGGACGTGAGAGGAAGACAGTGAGCCAAGGGCCAAAATCCTTGCCTAAGATGTGGGCTTTTAATAATGTTATCAAAGAAGAGGAGAGATTGTTCTTGGCAGAAATAAGACTATTTTACTTTGAGGGTAGGAGTTATAAATGTTTTCTGGTTTTCTCTAAACAGAGATCCATTGACCTAACTCTGGAGTGAAGTCAGATATGGGAATTAGTGGATAAGTAATTGGATTAACTCTTGATCTCACTCTTGGTTGAATTTGATTTTTTCCATTTACTCCCAGTGATAGGTCTACTATGAGAAATATCGTGATTTCTTTACACACGAGTTAGAAATTTGAACAATATAT